GCCCAACCAAGCATGTACCTTGCCAGATTGTCGCAACTTTTATCGAGTAACTATTCTTGAAAAATTGCATATTTTTGTTTTAAATGATACATAATAATAGTGCAGATTTTCCTGAAGCTGGCAGTCTTGTAGCTTTTCCTGTAAAGGTATTTTTCCTTGCCCTTTAGCTGGTAAACAATTTGACTTGCAAGCTGCTAAAAGTCAGATTTGATACTGGCTCAATAAATGCAACATTAGCTTTTTAGTATTAATACCAACTTCTGCTAATGCCCTTTTGTTTGGGTGGGGGGGCAGTGGTGCAAAGGAATAAAAAGGGACAAAATTATTTTTAATTGAATAATTCATTAAAGCTGATGACACTGGACTTTTGAAAAGTGTGCTCATATGTGTTCAAAATCTGAGTTATTTCTAGATTGTTTGTTTGCTTTTTATTCTGCTAGAAATGTAATCTGCTTGAAACTTCTTCCCATGAGTCATTTTTTTCTTAACTAAATTTGTACATCCCTGAAAATCCCAATCCAAAGAGTGGGATTATTCCAGGTAGCTACTATTTTGAAACTATGCTTTCTGCTGTAGCTGATTTTAAAGCACCAGTCTTTGAACCAGGAGGTTCAATGCAGCAGGGAATGTACACACCTAAAGGTATGTGGTTGTTCTTAAAGTTGCTTTATCTGAAACTTGGTAGATATTTTAGGAAAATGATTAACTTAATATGACTTGCAAAATTTTAATGCCAGTATTGATTTTTTTTGCCAAGAATTTGATTGTTCTATGTGCTTTGTAGCCCATAAATTACATTTTTATGATCACCAACAGAGAGAATCATTATTAAACATAAATTATTTTGGAGATTTTCTATCAATTTTTAAAAAGTGTAATGTACTTACAAATATTCCTTACTCGAGTGACTTGTCCATTTTTTGCTTTTTGTTAGACTAGATGTAATTCATATATGCAATTTGTCAAACATTGTTTTGTTCTCATCTGTTACAGACAGTTTCTTGTATTTTAGCATTCTAACGTTACATGCTTATGTTTTCCACTCAGCATTGTGCCAGTTTTTTGTTGTGAATTGAATTTTATTTGGAGTTCATTAGCTTGTATTTTCACCTTTTTAGTATTTTGCCTAAGTTATTGCTAAATGGTCCCATTTGCTCAAGTATTTACAATTCCAAAACAATTCTGTAGAGACAATCATTCTATAATTTAAATATGGAATATGTAAATTTTTGTGTTTTCTTTATTCTGCGATAAACTTTGCTGCTTTATTGAGGGTGGTGGGGTAGGGAAGTATAAACATAAAGAGGGGAGGTGAAAAGCTAAGACAAATGTAGAGAAAGCGTAGCTATACAAGTTATCTTTCTTTCAGCAGTTTCACCGAAATGAGTAGGTGAGCAATGTAGACAAGGAGAATTTTGTTTGATCTTTCATTTGTGCTGTTCCATTTTGGATATTATTCAATGTAACAGTCTTCATCACAAATTTTAAGGGACCATAATTATTTACAATATATATTAATGACTTGGATAAAGAAAGTGAATGTACTGTTGTCAAGTTTGTGAATTATGGAAAAATATGTGGAAAGGCAAGTGGTAAGGATGACGCAACCTGTCTACATCCTGTGCAGACTATTTAAGTGAGTGGGCAAGATTTGGTAGAAGTAATATAATGTGGGAAAGTGTGAGGTAAAGCTCTTTGGCAGGAAGAATAGAGCAACTGAATATTATTTAAATGGGGAAAAGACTGCAGAATGTTACGGTGTCCTCGTGCATAAATCCCAAAAAGCCAGCACCCAAGTTTATCAGGGAATAGGAGAGGCAAATAGAATGTTGCCCTTTTTATTTCAAAGGAAATGGAATATTAAAATAAGTAAGTCTTGCTAAAACTATACAAGGCACTATTTAGCCCACACTGAAATGTTTTTAATAGTTTTGGTCCCCTTATCTGAGAAAAAAGATGTACTAACATTAGAGGCCATACGGAGAAGTTTCACTGGGTTGATCCCAGGTATCAAGGGATTTTCTTATGAGAAGAGGTTGAGTAGGTCCTTCCATTGGCGTTTATAAGAATGAGGTGTGACCTTAGTGAAACATGCAAGATTCTTACGGATTTTGATACAGTAAATGTGGAGGGCATTTTACCCTTCTAAGGGTGATCAACACAGCAAATTTTAAAAATGATTTTTCTCTGAAATTGGGTATAACCGACAAGGCTGGTATTTATTGTCAACCTTTTTCTCCAAACCATTGAGTAGGTTTCATGGACAGTATTTTTGCAACAACCTGGTATCTTTGTCATTTAACAGTGTTTTAGACTGAATTAAATTCTTAAATTGCTACAGTAGAATTACTCGAGGCCACAAATTCATAGTGGGCTTTTAGGGAAAGAAATGTGAGAAAGCAAACAGCTATGGAATTAAATGAAGGGGATTATAAACTTAGGATGAGAGGAGAATAATAAGACAGTTGTTAGAACATGGGGATAGCAAATCGAACTAAATGAGCTCACTATCACTAGATTCGCAGAACAGTGAAATTAATACATTCAGTGACCCTCAAAATTGCTCAATTGTTCCTAACCAGACTTTATAAATAACAGATCTTGGGCAAGATTATAATTTAAACAAAAATGAACTATTTTTTAAGCATGAGATTGTAGGAACTGCTGATGCTGGAGAATCTGAGATAACCAGGTGTAGAGCTGGATGAACGCAGCAGGAAAGCCGATGTTTCGGGTCTAGACCCTTCTTCAGAAATGGGGGAGGGGAAGGGGATTCTGAAATACACAGGGAGAAAGGGGGAGGTGGATAGAAGATGGATAAAGATGATAGGTGGAGAGGAGACAGACAGGTCAAGGATGCAGGGTTGGAGCCAGTAAAGGTGAGTGTAGGTGGGGAGTTAGGGAGGACAGACAGGTCAAGGAGGCAGGATGAGGCTAGTAGGTAGGAGATGGGTGTGGGGCTTGAGGTGGGAGGACAAGTTAGGGAGTGGGGTACGAGCTCGGCTGGTTTTGGGATTCAGTTAGGGGAGGGGAGATTTTGAAGCTTGTGAAGTCCACATTGATACCATTGGGCTGCAGGGTTCCCGAGTGAAATGAGATGCTGTTCCTGCAACCTTTTGGTGGCATCGTTGTGGCACTGCAGGAGGCCCAGGATGGACATGTCATTCAAGGAGTGGGAGGGGGAGTTGAAATGGTTCGCGACTGGGAGATGCAGTTGTTTGTTGCGAATGGATTGTAGGTGTTCCACAGAAGCGGCCCCCAAGCCTCCGTTTGGTTTCCCCGATGTAGAGGAGGCTACATGGGAACAGCGGATAGAGTATACCACATTAGCAGATATGCAGGTGAACATCTGTTTGATGTGGAAGGTCTTCTTAGGGCTTGGGATGGGGGTGAGGGGGGAGATGTAGGGGCAGGTGTAGCACCTCCTGCGGTTGCAGGGAAAAGTGCTGGGGGTGGTGGGGAGTTTGGAGCAGACAAGGGAGTCACGGAGAGAGTGGTCCCTCCAGAAAACAGATAAGGGTGGGGAGGGAAAAATGTCTTTGGTAGTGGGGTCGGATTGCAGGTGGTGGAAGTGTCGGAGGATGATGCGTTGGATCCCGAGGTTGGTGGGGTGGTATGTGAGGATGAGGGGGATTCTGTTTTGGTTGTTATTACAGCGAGGGGGTGTGAGGGATGAGTTGCGGGAATTGTGAGAGACACGGTCGAGGGTGTTTTCGACCACTGTGGAGGGGTCCTTGAAAAATGAAGACATCTGGGATGTCTGGGAGTGGAATGCCTCCTCTCGGGAGCAGAGGCGAAGGAATTGGGAATAGGGGATGGCCTTTTTGCAGGAAGGTGGGTGAGGAGGAGGTGTACTGTAGGTAGCTGTGGGAGTCAGTAGGCTTGAAATAGATATTGGTTTCCAGGTGGTTGCCAGAGATGGAAATAGAGAGGTCCAGGAAGGAGAGAGAGGTATCGGGGATGGTCCAGGTGAACTTAAGGTTGGGGTGGAAGGTGGTTAATGAAGTGGATGAACTGCTCGAGCTCCTCGTGGGAGCACGAGGCGACGCCGATACAGTCATCGATGTAACAGGAAGAGGTGGGGGATAGGGCCAGTATAGCTGTGGAAGAGGGATTGTTCCACGTATCCTACAAAGAGGCAGGCATAGCTTGGGCCCATGCGGATACCCATGGCCACCCCCTTTGTAGGAAGTGGGAGGAATTGAAGGAGAAGTTGTTAAGGGTGAGGATAAGTTCAGCTAAGCGGATGAGGGTGTCGGTGGAGGGGGACTGGTTGGACCTGTGGGACAGGAAGAAGCGGAGGGGCTTTAGGCCATCTGCATGGGGAATGCAAGTGTATAGGGAGTGGACGTCCATGGTAAAGATGAGGTGTTGGGGCCCAGGGAATCGGAAGGTTTGGAGGAGGTGGAGGGCATGGATGGTGTCATGGACATAGATGGGGAGTTCCTGGACCAAGGGGGAGAAAATGGAGTCGAAATAAGTGGAGATGAGTGGCAGGAGCAGGTGGAGACAATGGGTCGACCAGGGCAGTCAGGCTTGTGGATTTTGGGAAGGAGATAGAAACTGGCAGTGCGGGGTTGGGAAACGATGAGGTTGGAGGCTGTGGGTGGGAGGTCACCTGAGGTGTTGAGGTTGTGGATGGTTTGGGAGATGATGTTTTTGGTGGTTGGGGGTGGGGTCATGATCAAGGGGGCGGTAGGAGGTGGTGTAGGAGAGTTGGCGCCTGGCCTCGGCGATGTAGAGGTCAGTGTGCCATACTACAACTGCGCCTCCCTTGTCCGTGGGTTCTACAGTAAGGTTGGGTTTGGAGTGGAGGGCTGCACGTTCTGTAGGGGAGAGGGTGGAGTGGGTGAGGGGTGGAGAGGTTGAGGCGATTGATGTTGCGACGACAGTTGGAGATGAAGAGGTCGAGGGAGGGTAGGAGGCCTTGGGGTGGCGTCCAAGAGGAGGGGGTGTGTTGGAGGCAGGAGAAGGGGTCAGTAGAGGGAGGGTCAGGCTCACAATTAAAGAAGCAAGCGCAGAGGCGGAGGCTGCGGAAAAACTGTTCAACGTCCAAGCATGAGTTGTATTCGTTGATGTTTGAATGGAGGGGGACAAAGGTGAGCCCTTTACTGAGGACTGACTGTTCACAAGCATGTAAGGTTAGCAGAACACACAACCTGTAAGGCAATCTAATTTAATATCTATAAAAACCAAAAGAACTGCGGATGCTGTAAATCAGGAACAAAAACAAATTTGCTGGAAAAGCTCAGCAGGCCTGGCAGCATCTGTGCAGGAAAGAACAGAATTAACGTTTTGGGTCCGGTGACCCTTCCTCACAACTGATGGTGGCTGGGAAAGCGTCAGTTTATATGCAGGAAATAGGGAGGTGGGTGGGGTAGGAAGTAAACGATAGGATAGAGCCCAAAGAGAGAGACCGTTGGACAGACGAAGGAGTTGCTAACGATCAGGCTGGGAGAGTGAATAGTTGTTGATGGGGACTGTTAGTGACTAACAGGGGGTGTGTAATGGCATGCTATGTGGTAACAAGGCCTGGTGTGTGGGGTAGGGGGCTGGGACATGGGAGAGTTTAATTAATATCTATGATCTGAGCCCAACCTTTGATTGTAAACCTCCTAATCACAGACTGACCCACAGACACCGTTAACAGACGGAATGAAAGATAACTCCTTCAATAATGCGTACTGAGCCTTTATGAAGTTCTTGGATTATGGGTTGGATATCCGGCCCATAAGTCTTTATATCTCTTGCTTGAATTTGGAAATCACCAATCAATGCAAACAGCTTCGGCAGACTTCAGAAGATTTTTACTTATTTATTACAGACTGAGATTCTTTTCTCATAACTTTCAACAACTCAATAATTGGTGAATAACTACAGAGAGCAACAATCAGAAAACAACTCTGTCTGGAAGCTTCCAAAACAAAACTGCCTTCTGCCCAAAACCAGTTAGTCAGTTTGCTGTTTGTTTTTCTTTTTTTTTTCCAACATTCTTTTGTAGTTGCCTGGCCAGCACCAGTCCTCCCACAACTGACTAATTCGATATCCAATCAGAACAGAAAATGCTGGTGAATCTCTGCAGGTCAGGTGGCATCTGTCGGAAGAAAGCAGAGTTAACGTTTTGAGCCCAGTGACTCTTCTTCAGAACTGACAGTCGCTAGGAAAGACTGGCATTTATGCTGAAGACGAGGTTGGCGCTGGAGGGAAGGGAAAGGTGAGGGAATAGGTGGAAGTAAAGCTGAGAGAGAGGGAGATATGAAAGAGATAGGTAAACGAGGGGATTATGAATGGTGGGCCAGGACAGAAGAGAAACTGAATAAGTGAGAATGATAGCTGAGAATAGCTAAGCATGGGTAGTCTGTGCTGAAAGCAAACCATGTGATCTTACAAATAGGCCAGATAGTGGGTGAAAATCAGTTGTCTGTGCTAAAAACAACTATCGTAACGGAGAAAAACAAATGAATCTGAAACAAAAACAAAAATTGCTGGAAAAGCTTAGCAGGTCTGGTTAGCATGGACACGTTGGACTGAAGGGTCTGTTTTCATGCTGTGTAACACTCTGGCTGTGTGACTGCCTGGGTGAGGTGCTGATGTGAGACTGGGGTGAACAAGGTCAGAAGTTGGACGACACCAGGTTATAGTCCAACAGGTTTATTTGTAATCACAAGCTTTCAGAGTATCACCACTTCGGCAGGTGAAGTGAGAGAAGTACACAGAACACAGAATTTGTGGGCAGAGAGAGATCGAGGTCAGAGATCGAAAGACCACACAAATGGTGTGACTGGAGTGCTGAAAAATAAGTCCTTGCAGGTGATTCAAAGTGTTAGATGGTGTGAGTAAACTGTCAACAGCTGAATAATAAGCAGAGGGATGACCTAAAGTCCGATTAAATGGGGCAGAGAGATAATTACAAAAATTTAAAAATAAGTTGGAGCTACAGTCAAACCAAATGACTAGAATAACTTGATATAATATTTTTTTTATTTTTTATAATTATCTCTCTGCCCCATTTAATCTATTCTGCACTCCACTCACACTACTTGTATGGTCTTTTGATCTCTTTGCCCATGATCTCTCTCTGCCCATGAATTCTGTGTGCTTCTCTCTCACTTCACCTGATGAAGGGGCTATGCTCCAAAAGCTTGTCATCGACTCAGATTTCAAATAAATCTATTGACCTGGTGTCATCTGACTTGTGACTGGGTAAAGAGAGTTAGTTCTATCGAATTATTTTCATCACTAATACACAAGATGGCAGTATGAGCTTGCAGTTCATAAAATTACAATGGAGACAGGTTTGAAAGTTCAGTGGTTTTTTTCTTACTGTTTCTTCTGCTATTGTTTTAGAGATGTTTTTAATTACTGTCTCTGATAGGGAGACAGAAAAATGGGGCCAATACTCAGTAGATAATGTCTTTGGAATGAAAAATAAACTTATGAAGATGACCTGAAATGTTATCTTGGCTGATATCTTCACAGATGCTGTTTGATATGTACTTTATTTGCATCACTTGCTGCGTTTATTTCAGATTTGCAGGAACTACAATATCTTGATTTTCATGTTAGAGAATTAAAAATCCTCTAATTCTCTAAGCAGTGTTGACATGAAGTGGATAACTAAGAAGCATTCGGTATTGAGACTTGCATGTGATGTATGGCAGTTTGAGTAGAAAGGATTGTGGAGTTGCATTCTTATTTTCAGAAAGGGGAGAGTTAATGATTTACTAAGTGGGGGAAAGCAATTGTATGGTATTGGAATTGGCTCTGTATTTACAAATGCACTTGTCATCTTCATAAATAGATAAATAGTTTGCAAGCGTTCTATCTTGACAAAGCAAACCTGCATTGCCAAAGCAAATTCCAGGATATATTTTTTTTCTGTTTGGAAAGTGATATTCATTGCTTTGAGTATGTTTCGCTTAACATTCATTCAAAACACTTTTTGATCCTTCAGTTGTGCGAAAGGTTTTGTTTCATATTTTTGTTAAATGTGATTCTGCCTTTACTTCAAATAACTATTCACACTTTTTTAGGATAAAATGCTTTGAGAAATAACTTGTCTTTAGTAGACTTTGCTCTATATACTAAGTGACATTGCGTAAGTTTGTAAGTTGTTTTAAAAATAGATTTTTGCTGATGTCATTATTTTACAGAACAAAATCATTATGCATTGCATAGAAAATACAAGTGAATAGTATCCCAGTGCTTTTTGTTTTTCATTGGCTCTTCTGTGTTTAGCAAAATTTGCAGTAGTACAGATCTGCTTAATGGGAAGGTCAATTTAAAGGAATCACTTGTTCATGCAATTTCTAAACTTTATTTCTTCCTTGGTTATATTTATTTGCTGTTTATTTGATAGAATATTATTTAAGGGGAGCAGTCCGTTCAACAGAGGTGAAATGTATGTGCATTTTGATTATTATTCTTTGGTTTGTTCTATATTTATTGAAGAAATATATTGCAGAAATAACATTTTTTTTCTGTAGAATACTGCAGTGAAGCTTCTTCATGTTGCCTTGCCCTGCATTGCCACAGGGTATAATAGAGAAGTTGAGAGATGTAGGTAACCATCACTTACCCAACTGGTACCCCAGTACTATTAAATTTTTCTGTTCTCTCAAGGGCAATGCAAGCTATGGTGGTGAGGCGTCTATCTTCGTTACTGTTGCCCCAGTTTGTACCTTTGTTGGAATGCTGTGTGTTAGGCACAGTGCATTTATTATTTTAAAAGAACTAGATTTGATGTTTTATGTATTTAAAACATGATTACAAAACAGAATATAATGCTATCAAGTTAACAACTCAATGCTCGATTTTCATCCTTTTGTTAGCTGATGTCTGGAATCAAGAATTTGACCCTATTATGGTGATTTTAAGAACTGTATATCGCAGAGATGTGCAGTCTGCAATGGATAGATACATGGGATTGTAAGTATCTTTTTAAATCTGCATGCAAAATGTTGTTGAACTTCAGTAAATTGAATCACCAAATTTCACTGTAACATGCACTCTTTGCATTGTTCTGCTCCTGGTGGCGAAGGTTACTACTTGTAATTAAACTATTATTTGCACTTTTGTATCAAAGCTGTATTTAGAATCATAGGAGCATAGAATTTTACAGTACAGAAGTAGGCCATTTCACCCATATATGTACCATCTCCCATAAAAGTTACCCAGCTACTATCATTCTCCAGTCCTATCTCCACAGCCCTCTAAATACATCACTTTCAAATGCACATTGAGCACTCGTTTGAAGCCCAGTATGGAAACTGCCTCCACCACTCCTGAGGAGTGTATTCCAATCCTAACAATTCCGAGCAAAGAAGTTTCTCTTCATTTCATTCCTAGCTCTCTTGTAGACCATCTTGAAACCGTGACCCGTAGTTGCTGACATGCTAATTAGTGGAAATGGAAAACCCTACTTTACCCTGTCAAAATTGTTCATAAATCTCAAAGTCACCTGTTAATCTTTTCTGCTCCAAAGACAATAAGCCCAATCTCGCTAATCTTTCCTTGTATCAAAAATTCCTCCATTCCTTGTATCATTCTAGCAAATCTCCTTTTAAACTGTTTCCAGGACTTCAACATTCTTCCTTAAATAAAGTGTCCAGAACTGAACATACTTTATGAAATGTATTCTGTGAATACTGAGTAAATGCTACAGTATGACACCTGTAGTATATATTGACTGATTAAAGAGCTGATTGTACTTGTGCCATTATGAAGTAATGTTGTCGCTAATTCGTTTTCTCAAATGTCTCTCATCATAAGCATTACTAGTGTTGGATCTATAAGCTGTTCATTTCATCCATGTAACTCAGTTGGCTTTTCAGATATGATTCAAATTTAGAAGAATAAATTCTGTAGTTATAGAAAAATCTTGTTAACGTGTTTGCAATGGTCATGCAGATGTAAGGATCAGATTTTTTTGCAACAAAGCTGCATTAAGTTCTGTGCTTTTGTAACTACTTGTATTGAGAAATACTGACAGATTGTGTGCTCATATTCCAGGGAAGATAGGGGAGCCCGAATTCCCATTTATCCCTGTTATCCGCCATAGATTCTTTAATAGTCTTTGGATCAGCTGTTTTTTTTTTCCTTTTACTCTTGTCTTTTTTTAACCTTTTATTTCCAAAAATAGTTTTACAGATTGCTCACAATTTAATCCCAGACTGATGTTTTGAGCAGAGTGCAGTTCTTCCACCGTGCCACAGTGAAATTGTATTGGATAACTGTGCATCAGTGACTCTGTTTAAGCAGCTGCTAGATAAGCATTTTTCTGTACAGTTAAGTTGCAGAGTGATTTTTAAATCAGCATTTTAACACTGAGTATGGCCAGAATTTCTCAGTTGTTCAATATGCTTCTCATTGGCACTTTAAATACCTTAGCATTTTGTAAAGCTGTTACAAAAACAGGAAATGCTGGAAACACACAGTAGGTCAGTCAGTTGACATCTAATAAAAGCTGAGAGAAGTTATGCCATTTTGAGTTTGTATATTTTGAGAACAAAATTTATCTCTGGCAAGTTTAAGGGAATATAGGTTGTCACTGACCAGGCTAGTTGTCAAGCTTCTTGAGTGTTACCAGCCCAGCGTCTAATCAGGCAGGTGGAGAGTATTCTATCACACTCCTGGCCTGTGTCTTGTGAATGGTGGACAAGCTTTGGAAAGATGGAAAGTGTACTACCCACTGCAGGATTCCTCACCTCCGAACTGTTCTTGTTTCTGGATGGTGATAGTGAGAGATTCACTGATGGTAATGTCAGTGGAGATGGTTAGATTATCTCTTATTGGTGATGGTCATTGCCTGACAGTTGTGATGTGAATGTAACTTGCCGCTTATCAGCTCAAGTGTAGATTTTGTTGCATATGGAGACAGGCTGCTTCAGTGTCTGAGGAGTTGCAAATGTGCTAAATATGGTGTAATCATCAACGAACATGCCCATTTCTGATCTTATGATGATGAGGAGGTAATTGATGAAGCAGCTGAAGATGGTTGAGCCGAATGCAGTAGCCCGAGAAACTGAAGGGCTCTTGTGGTGCACTGGTAGTGTTACCATCTCAGAGCCAGGAGACATGGGTTCAAGCCCCACCCACCACCACCACCATCAACCCCCCCCACCTACCTTGCTCCAAAGGTATGTAATGACATCTCTGAACAACTTATTAGGGAAAAAATTATAGCCTGCGAAACAACTGGTTCTTGTGGTGCAGTGGTCGTTTCTTAACTACTGGACCAGCAGACCAACTGTTTCAAGTCTTAACTGCTCCAAAAGTGTGTAATAACACTTCTGAACAGATTGATTTGAAAATGTATACCCTGAGGAACTCTGGCAGAGATATCCAGGAACTCGGATGACAGACTTCCAACAACCAAAACAATCTTCCTTTGTGCCTGGTGTAACTTCAATCAGAGGAGAGTGGGGTTTTTTCCCTGATTTCCATTGATTCTAATTTTAGTGCTTATTGTAGCAATACTCACTGGCAGTCTCTCACCTCAACCCTGGAGTTCAGTTATTTGGACTAAGTTGTAATGAGGTCAGGAACTGAGCAGCTGTAGTCGAAACCAAGTTGAACATCAGTGAGTAGATTATTTCTTTGCAAGTGCCCACTTGGTAGCACTGTTGTCAACGTCTTCTGTCACTTTGCTGATAATTGAGAATAGATTGATAAGATGATATTTTGCCCAGGTTAGGTTTTTCCTGCTTTTTGTCGGCAGGACAAATTTGGGCAATTAGCTACATTGTTGTGGGGATGTCAGTGTTAGAGCTATATTGTACAGCTTGGCAAGGGGCTCAGCATGTTCTGGACCTCATATCTTCAGTATAGTTGTTAGACTGCTGTCAGGATCCATAGCCTTTGCAGAATCTCTTGTCTTTAGCCATAATCGTGGAGTGAATCAAATTGGTTGAAGACTGGCACCTGTGATGCTGGAGATCTGAGGAAGAGACCCAGATGGATTGTCCACTTGGCTGTTCTGGCTGAAGAACCAGTTCTGGATGATGATCCATCAGCCTTGCCTTTCTCACTTTTGTGTGGGTCTCCTCCATCTTTGGGTATGGGGATGTGTGATATGGAGGGAAATTTGCGGGAAGTGAGGTTTGCAAGCATCCCATGCTGCCATTGTCTTTCTAGATAGTAGAGGTTATGGGTTTGGAAAGTGCACTTGAGGGAAAACCCCTGCCTCCTGTTGTAGTTGTTTAATTGACCACCACCATTCATAACTCCACATGGCAGAATTGTAGAGTTTAGATCTGATTGGGCAAGGAGAGTGTGCAGCAGGATCTGGGCGTCCTTGTGCACCAGCCACTGAAGGTAAGCATGCAGGTGCAGCAGGTGGTAAAGAGGCAAATGGTATGTTGGCCTTCATTGCGAGAGGTTTTGAATACAGGAGCAGGGATGTGTTGTTGCAGTTGTACTGGGCCTTGAGACCACACCTGGAACATTTGTGTGCAGTCTTGGTGTCCTTCTCTGAGGAAGGATGCTCTTGCTTTCGAGTGAGTGCAGTGAAGGTTTCCCAGGCTGATTCCGGGGATGGTGGGTCACATGTATGAGGAGAGATTGATTAGGTTAGCGTTGTTTTTGCTGGAGTTCAGACAAATGAGGGGGGATCTCATAGAGACTTATAAAATTCTAATGGGACTAGACAGGGTAGATGCAGGGAGGATGTTCCCGATGTGGGTATTTCCAGAGCCAGGGGTCACCGTATGAGAATCCGAGGTAGACTACTGAGGACTGAGATGAGGAGCCATTTCTTCACTTGAAGAGTGATGAGCCTGTGGAATTCATTACCACAGGAAGTAGTTGAAGCCAAAACATTGAATTCATTCAAGAGGCAACTAGATAAAGCACTTGGAGCGAATGGGATCAAAGGTTATGGGGAGAAAGCTGGATTAAGCTATTGAGTTGGACAATCAGCCATGATCATGATGAATTGTGGAGCAGACTCGAAGGGCCGAATGGCCTCCTGCTCCTATCTTCTATGTTTCTATGTTTCTATTACTTGGTTGTGGATCACTAGCACATGTCTATTGCATGCTGTTTCCACTGTTTGACGTGCAAGTCATGCATGTCATAGCTTCACCAGGTTGACGTGTTACTTTTGAGGTATGTCTGAGGTATTCCTGCATTCTTGATTAAACTAGTGTGAATGCCCTGGCCTTGTGTTAATGGTAGAGTCAGCGATATGACAGGCCATGAGGCACAGATTATGGTTGAGTACAGTTGTGCTGTTTCTAATTGTCCACAGTGCCTCAACTGTCCAAGTTGGAATTGCTAGATTAGTTTGAAGTCTGTCCCATTTAGTACGGTGATGGGTGTCACCTATAAGTACCCTTGATGTGTAGGTGGAACATCACACTTAACCATGAGGCCATCGCTCTCTTAATTAATGGACAGACACATATGCATCAGGTAGATTAATGAGAATTATTTCAAATATATTTCACCTCTTCATTGGTTCCCTCCCCACCTGCTGCAGACCCAGTCCAGTATGTCTATCCAGGAGGACTTGGCCAGCTCACGTGTTTGTGGTGTTAATGAGTAACTCTTGGTATTAGAAATTGAAGTTCCTCTACAGAGGTCAGTTTTTTTTCCCCCATCGTCCTCCGTGCTTCCTCCAAGTGCTGTTCAACATGGGGTGGTGCTGATTCATGAGCCGAAGGGACGCTGGTAATCATCAGAAGGATTCTTTCCTTTGACCTGAAACCTTCAGATTTCATGGTATCAGAAATCAATGTTAAGGTTTCTAGGTCAACTCTTTTCTGACTGTATACCATTGTGTCACCAATGCTGATGGATCTGAACAGCTGGTGGGATAGGACACCTCCAGAGATGACGATGATGGTTTCTGGGATGTGGTGTGTAAAGTCCGTGAGCATGCCTATGTCAGTCTGTTGGCTTGACTTGTCTGTGGGGTAGTTCTCTCAATTTTTGGCACTATCCCCCAGATGTTAATTTGGTGGACTTTTGTGGGGCAGCTGGGCTCCTTCTCTGTTTCCAGTGTCCAGTTCGATGCTGTGTCATTTTTCTGGTTTCATTATTTTGTTTAAATTAGGTAGCAGTTTGATACAACTGAGTGGCTTGCTCGACCATTTCAGAGAGCAATTAACTATCAGCTATATTACTGTGGAGTTGCATGTAGGCTATTCCAAGGAGAAAATCTCTTTGGAAAGTATGAAAACGTATGATCCCAGTGCTGATAGCTATTTTCAGGATGCTAGGGAATTTTCTTTGGCACTGCTGAAGAGGGAAGCAGGTAGGGTAGTAAAGAAGGTATATGGCATGCTCCCGTTTATTGGTTGGGGAATTGAGTATAAGAGTCAGGACATCATGTTGCAGCTTTATAAGACTTTGGTTAGGCCACATTTAGAGTATCGTGTTCAATTCTGCTTGTCACATTACAGGAAGGATGTGGAGGCTTTGTAGAGGATGCAGAAGAGGTTTACCAGGATGCTGCCTGGATTAGAGGGTCTGAGCCATAAGGAGAGTCTAGAAAAACTAGTTGTTTTCTCTTTTCTCCCCAGGCTGAGGGGAGACTTGATAGAAGTCTATAAAATTGAGATGCATGGATAGGGTTGATGGTCAGAATCCTTTTCTTCCCAGAGTTGAAATGTCATCTCCAGGGGCATGCATTTAAGGTTAGATGGTGAAGTTCGAAGGAGACATGAGGGGCAGGTTTTTTACACAACTTGATAGGAGTCTGGAACACACTGCCAGGGGTGGTGATGGAGGTAGATACATTAGAGGCATTTAAGTGACTTGTAGATACGCATGTGAATATGCCAGGAATGGGGGGATATGAACCAATTGTAGGCAGAAGGGATTAGTTTCATTTGGCGTCATGTTTGGCACAGCATTATGGGCCAAAGCGCCTGTTCCTGTGCTGTACAGTTCTATGTTCTATGTTTAGATCTGGAAACGTGGAGATATATTTATGCAACCTGGAGGCCATGATGAATTTAATGGTACAATCTGATCATTTTTTAGAATCCACTTCCTAGTGACAGCTAGATTGAGAGATCAACTGGCTGACTGCTGTTAGGTTTTTGGGCCTCCTTGGAATAGTGATGAGGGAAATATGTGGGTTGATTGGAGAACCTGGGTGAGAGGTAGCGTCGGGCCAAGTTATGGGTCAGTGGGTTTCCTGAGGCCTGGGTGTTAGGGCATACCGTGGCATTCTGTTCCAGTGGGATGGCTGCCATGAGGTTAATTGCTTGGGATAGGGAGTTGGGGAAGAGCATTCTTGTGCCTCCTGACCAAAAAGGGGCGCTAAAATGACATTTAGCTGTTGATTCCAGCTGTTCGTTCTTTCCCTTGGCCCGAGTATCCTACCTGACCAGTCTGAAACCTAAAACAGAGGCAAATCTGAGGTATGCCACATTATTGAGGGACTGAAACTCTTCCTTGAGCAAGTGGCAGTGTTCAGTCACTGCATTCGTAACGAAATAGAGTCATGAAATCCACGGATTATCTGTAAAATTAACGTGGGAAACAAGGCCCCTTCACAATTATAGTGTACAGTCACCTTCATGCTGCGTTCCTTAAACTTTTTCTAAAATCCTGTATAATTCCTCACTGCTTCCTTGCTTTCTCCTTCCTTCACGTTGCAGCTGAAAGGCAATCTACCCATTTTTCAACTGCCTTAGGAAGAAAAAATCTCAACTCGAGCACAGCCCATCACCTTGCTAAACTAATCCAATTAGCGATAGATGTACAGTTAACGATGAGGCTCAAAAATGTTGAAATTAGATGTCCTTCTGTATGGGCAGCATGATGAAACCATAATAGGCCACAGAGTCTGCTTTCTAAATGAATTTTTTAGCTCAGATAATGTGTGCCTTCAAATGTCTTTTGGTAGTGACTCATGTTCCTCTTCAGGGACAAAGTGTATTTCTTCAGGAGATTTCAGCTAAATCATGAAGGTTTCGTCATCTGTCTCTTGGTACAGAAAGAAAACTTCAACTTTGGCTAGCTTTGGTTGCTTCAAAGAACAGTTTCTCCATGGAGAACTGAATTCTGGATTTCACCATCACGTATTGAATATATTGTACATTTGTGAGTAGGTGAAGAAATCATGAATTTAGAACATATTCCATTGAGGATTATTTTTCCTCCTAAGATTTGCTTCTTGTTAGATGACAATTTGGACTGAATGTTTAGTTCTGCACATATGTTCATTTAAAAAGCAAATGTAAGACTTGCACTGAGAGTTTCTAGTGCTTCTTTGCCAGTTTGAGTTTATTTTTTATTAAAGTCCACTAGCTAATTGTAAAAGTAAACTTGATTTTGATAAAGAGCCATGAAAGATTCAGATGGTCTCTGAAGAATAATAGAAGCTTTTTTATCCGGCAAGTGTCACTGTTTCATTTCTGATACTGAATCAAGCTATTGAGATTTTTGATATACAGTCTACCACTTTGACTTAATATTACATTAGTTTTCACACTGGAAATTGTAGTTGTAGTTGTAAATTGAACAGTTACTCTCCTAAGGCAAGGTAAAAACACAGTTCTGTATTTTCTGTCCTACATGTTGAAAATGGCCATATGTTAGTACATTAATTGAGTATTTCTGTATCTTATTGGTGACAAAATGTGTATTTTTTTTTTTTACTTTCATTGCTTAGGTATAATTTCTAATGGTTTCTACGTTCTCCATTTTCTAATGTTGTATGGTTGCATTTCAATTCGTTTTGACAGCCTAAAACAGACTGGAAAATTCTCTGGTACCCCATGGCCACCTTATCGGGAGAGAGCTCCTTTAAGTCCCAGCTACAAAGGCCTACTGCGCATTTTGCACTGTAAAACTTTGCACATTGTGCTGTTTACTCTTCTTTACAAGGTAAAGCATAGGGTTACAAATATCTTGATGTTGCATTCTGATTAGTTTGTACCATTGACTTTCCTAAAGACAGTGATTATGGAATATTAATTGCATATAAATTGCATCTTTGCTAACTCTATAATTCTTGACCATTCCAATCCATTTCCAGTCCTAAAGAATATTCCTTTCTGATCAACATTACCAAGTGATAATTATAATGACAAGTTAAATGCATTTCTTTGCAGTTCAGACATTGCAGACAAAAATAGAACAGGTTCACAATACTTATGAAAAATAATTGTCCTAATTTCTACAGATATCTGCTTTGGTGAATGCAAGTACATTTTTTAGTGGTGATGGTATTATCTGTTTTGGCTATAATTGCAGTCATATTTAAATGTAATCTCCACTTTTTTAAAATCTCATTTGATTTACATGTTTTCTTTTGAATGTCTTAAATTTGTATCTCATTGAGAAAATTCACGCCTGGTAAATATGAAATGACCAAAATGATTAGCGTTGAATACTTTTTTTTTGAAACGGAGAAACCTTCACCAAACTTGTTGATATGTTTGTGCTTCTGGATCTTAGTGTTAAATTGCCCAAAGATGGAAAACAAGTAAATTCTAGTTTTAGGATTGTGATTTATTTTTGTAGATATCGATGGATCACCAGAATATGTCTGAACATGTTCTATGTATGGTGTTATACTTGATTGAACTCGGTCTAGACAACTTAACAGAAGAAACAGCTGAGGAGGAGGTGGGTGAAATGCCTGGACAAAAGTTAGCTTTGAATAGCTTTAGATAAGCGTTCATATTAGAATACAAACCCTGAATAAGCAAAATATAATTTATCTATTACATGTACTGTTGGACATCTTTACCTTTTTTGAGTAGGTATGTATGACAACTAGAGGCGCTTTCTCAGTCTTGGGTGAATTATATAGACGTGTAAAAAATGTCTGCTAAGAAGGCACTAATAGGTCTATCTAGCCTGTCCCTTACATTCCTGATGCATTATCATACGACAATTGTATGTAAGTGGAATTCTAAAACTGATGTAACTCACTCAAATAGTGCTCAATTTATTAAATTTACCTTGTAAAACATCCTGACTATTAAGAGTACTAATTTTTTTTTTTTTTTTTTTTTTTGCTTTATGACTCCCCTGATTGGTTTTCAGATTTAGATTCCTCATCCTGAAATCTACTTATTGATCTGAATTCTCTGGCTGAGTTGATGGATGACCTAAGCTGTGACCAATGACTTTCTGAAACATGCAGTTTTAAGATAGACAAACCATTGGGTAATGACCCCTACCTCCCTATTTTCTTGCTTTCATGCTGTTTTGTTTTGACAAAATGGCTTTCTCGCAATAATTCTACGCAGCAATGATCAGTAATTCTGGAGGATTATCAATGTGAAACTATCCACCATAATGCGTGTTGTACCAATTACAGCTAGAATCATAGAATTCCTGCAGTGCGAAAGCAGGCCATTCACCCCATCGAGTCTACACTGACTGTCTGAAGCATATCCCACTCAGACCTGCCCCACCCTATCCCTGTAACCCTGCATTTTCCATGGCCAATCCATCTACCTTGCACACCTTTGGACTGTGGGAGGAAACTGGAGCACCTGGCCGAAACCATGCAGACACAGGGAGAACGTGCAAACTCTACACAGACAGCCACGAGGGTGGAATTGAACCCAGGTCCCTGGTGTCCTAATCCAGCAATGCTAACCACTGAGCCACTGTGCCACTCAAGCAATTGTGAATAAAAGCATTGGCTCAGTAATAATTGTGAGTAGCTATTGACTGAACTTGAGATTCAGAATGACCAATTTGTTCCCATAATGAAGTTACAAATGCCTAAAGTGGTAGTTCCATTGTGTTCCATGAT